GAGGAGGAGGAGGAGGAGGGGAACGTGCCGCCCTCTCCTGAGGCGCTGCCCCGGGGAAGGCGAGCAGCGCTTCTTGCAGGTACGCCTCACCTCTCCTGGGTGAGCCGCCCCGGCCTGCCGGGCCCCGCCTCGTCTGGGCCGCCTTCAGGATGCAGCTTTAATTAGCCGTGAGCGAGAGCGGCTTTCCCGTGGCCATCTGCAGCCCCGGTGACAGGCGGCGTTGCTAATCGCGGGGGATAAGCTGCTTACAGCGACCCAGCTGGAGCGTGCTCGCTGCTGAGGTTTGGGCATTAAGGGGGGACAAAGCTGCAGGTTTGCCCCTGCGCTCAGAGGCGCAGGGACAAAGAGGCGTGTGTCCCGTCCCTGAGGTTCTGGTGAGGCCCAGCGACATGTCCGGTGGCGGCTATCAGAGTGAGTAAGTGCCTACGAGGAGAGGTGCGTCCGCACCCGTGGAGAGCCCTGGGAGTCACCAGGGATGCTGAGTGGGGGCCTGCAGGCCACGGCTGTGCCAGCTGAGAGCAGGCCTGAAATGGCTCCTCCCGGGCTGGGGCTATGGGTGACGGCCCTCCCGCTCCCACCACCGCATCCCAGGACACCGTCTGGTTCTTGGATGGCAGCACGTGAAGGGCGCTGCTGCGCGGCTGTTCCTCAGCTGCTGTAGCAGTAACTGCCTTCTCTCCGGTTAAGGGAAGAGCATTTGTGTGCCTGTTGATGTCAAAGCGGCAACAAGAGGCTCATGCGATGCCAGTGATGGTTAGGTCTGTAAGATTGAGCAGTGGGGGAAAAGCCTTGTGTCTAAGGCACGTGAAGCGTGATCTCAGACCAATCACTGGTCCCAACTTGCAATGTGAAATGGATCAGCCTTGGTCTGCAGGGATGGGAAAATTAGCATTGTCTGTGTGGTGCTTATGTGTTTGTTATGGGTCTTGTCATTGTCATAGTAATGCTGAAATGGCGTTCACTTGAAAGAGCTTGATTTACTTTTCATGAACTGTGCTATTTACTTCCTTTTGCGTATAACAACAGAAGTACATTGATCAGGTTAATATTTCTTGCTTAATTGGACTTGTTTCAGGTTTTAATGCGTTAGTGTGTTGCTGCAAAGTGTATATAGTAAGCATGCGTTAAATGTTTTAGTTGGAAACATCAAAACTAATATGAAATCCATTGGTCATGGATTTTGCAGTTCGCAAAATCTGTGGCTTGCCCTGAGTATCTCTTTCGGCCTTAGAAGAAGTTTTTAAAAAGCACTTCATAAAATGTTGTTGCCTTTTGAGTAAGATTAACTACTGCTTAAAGGTGGTTACATTGAAGTCCCGAATGGCAATTTTAGGAAGGCAGACAAACATGATTTTTAAAGGACGCTAGCTCTTCTTGATTTCAGTGAGACTGAAATTAGGAATGAGTGAGGTGAAGAACACCGCCTAAAATAATCATGGCAATGTGTTGAGAACCTGGTACCTGGCAGAAAGAACTGAAATTAAGAACTAAAAAAATCGCATGAGTTATGAAGAAAATAGATTATGTCTAGGTTCTTGAGCATAAAAGTAGTCCAGTGCCGGGTTCCAGGTGTTCGTGTAGCAAAACAGCACTGATAAACATGATACTTTCATGTCCTTTCACAATTCAAATCCTTTATAACACCCTTTTGTGATACATAACTAGTTGGCTGGATATTCCTGGGATGCAAGGAGTGTTTCTATGGAACACCAGTCCACTGCATTTTGTGGTTATACTTCATGCAGTGATAGGCACCCTAAAGAACGCTTTGTCTGTTCACTCTGTAGTTGCCAACTTCTACTTGCCTGGAAAAAATAATGGGATCTTTCTGTTCATGGTACGCTTGGTGATGTATGAAAGGCAGTAATGGCAGTTCCCAAGGATAATTGCAACACTGCATGACTATCTCCTGTTGCTTTAGTAATTGAGTTTACTCCCCAGTTCGTGGTGATTACTGAAGGAGTTTGCATGTGAGAAGGACAAGCAGGCTGTTTGCAAACATGTCTGAGGCTGAGATGCTTTCTTAGAAGAGAGTGAGATAAACATAGTTTCGAAACAGAGTGCAATTTGACAGGAGGGTTTCTGGTATTGGAATATGTTTGAAAAAGACAGTAGGCATTGATTTCATAGGCCATGCTGTCTCTTTCTTTTCAGATCGACTAGGGTTTTTTTAAGATGATATAGATGTGTGTGTCTTTTCACAATACAATTTTCATTTTTTAAAAGGGGGGTGGAAAAGAATGGTGGTTAGAATGACAGAGTGATTGACAACTTGCTTTTAAAATTTAAGGGAATGAAAGCACAGTCCCGTCGAATTGCACTTACCTGTTAGCAGCAACTTACAAATCTGCTCTGCATGAGAGTTATATGTATAACCATCTGACTTAGGGCTAGACTGCAAATTAGGTCTCCCATCTAGGCTGTAACTCTTCCAGGTTAGGGAACAATGTAGATTCTCTGGATGTGTAAACATGGTTTCATCCTTTAGTGTGGACAAGAAGAAATTGGCCTGCATAGCCTTGAACCTTTGCAGGGCTGTAGCATGATACTGAACAAATTTTCACTTGTTAAGCAGTTAAATAGTACCTTAAGTCGAGACACTGCCTTTCCTACCAGCCCTGGAGAAAATACAAGTGTGGAGGAGATCTGAGCTGGATTTCCAATCTATGAAGAGGGGTAAGCACTGTACTCCATCTGGAACCATGTTGCTCTGACTTCTGTAAAAACATTTTCTTTTAGACCTGTTCTTGCTTGGTGTCATGTAGATCTGGTTAGAGGTAAAGCATTCTAGAAAAGCAGCTACAGACTACCCTGTCTTGGCAGGAGGATAATTCATCCTTATTAGCAACAAGTTCTTTTTGAGGCTGCAGGTGCATGCATAATGCTGGAAGTCTTTGTTTTCCAGGTTTTCTGTTGAGAACTGAGTCTGTCCTCTTT